ACACATACACACAATTGCATGCAACAATACATAGGTATATATATATATAAGTTTCTCGATAAATTATCTCTAGAAATCAAAAAGCTTTATCAAGATGTAATAGACTATTTTCAAAAATATTTTCAGAACGATTTTGTTATATAAGAAGCTATTAACGTTGCAACTTGTAGATATATCGCATAATTGGTACGAGGCATACTTTGTTGTGAAAAGAAAATAATTCATCCCTCTCACTTTTTTATTTATATTTTCTTTTTATAAGTGAAAATATGCACGTACAGATCGTTCTTCAACAACGATATTATTTAGGGTCGAGGCATTGGATCACGTCTATCGATTAGCTGCACGGTTGTTTATATATTTGGTACGTATATAGATTATGCGTACAATTTAATGTGGTTATCCATTATCGGGATAACGATGCGCCATTTAACAATATACGCGTTGTGTTTCACGTACAAATATACAGATATCTGCATAATGGGATACGATGTTTCTCTACGATTCTGTTTATGACGTGGGATTATATTTATCCGATTTGTGGGAAACTCGGTCGATTTCTGTTACGTGGAATTTGTTTCAATATTTTATAATAATAATTGATTATATAACGAGTTTTAGCGCAAATGTTGCCTTATCTTTTGTAAGCTTGCATGTGAATTTGATTAAATTGGTCCACTGTAATGTACATTTGTGTAACTTTATGTTCTAAAATCCCACCAGACCGGTACTTGAGGAAAGTTGCTTGAAAAACATTAATATTCAAAGAGAGTGATTAATCTTGCTGGCGGATAACCATCGTACGTGTCAGTATTCAACAAGGCAAGTAAGCGGTCACTAACACTAGATCCGCCCTTAATTAACATTTCTTGAGCGGTCGCGGGAAGCGAGCTAAACGCGAGAATCAACTTGACATCAATTCATTCCTTCTTTATATATATATAAAAAGGGCATTTCATTTTCAAAGCGATTACATTACAATATTTTGTACAACATTTTTTTCGATACGATAGAGTCCTTTTATATTTAGATTTATATTTTTAAATAAAAGCACAAACTTGTCACAAATGACCTCTATTGTTGACTTTATCCCGAGATGACAGTAAGCCAGCGAAAGAAAGAATTGAGAAAAGATTGGTTGAATCGCATCGATCGAATGCCCGCGGCCGATCACGGAGCACATATTGCTCGGCATTCTTCTCTCAGTTTCGTTTCAGAGACGTGTACTTATCGATTAGCCCTGCCGCGCGTCTCTCTTTCCACGATTGTTCCGCTCTTGTAGCCTCGGTGTCGCATTGGCGGCCTAGAAATGCCCCTCGCCCTCGCTGGCACACGATAATTGCAAAAAGAGAATTATCGGTTCGTTTCAACCATTTCTCCAACTTGCGAAAATTCAAGGGGCTACTTTTAAATTTTTCAGCCGTCTTCCACGCGCAATACCGATTTTTTGTATAAACCAGGCAAACCTAAAAATATATTTCATGACCCGGCCAGTCTCGTATTTCTTTCCGCCAATAACTCTCGCCCTATCGTAGATCGAGGCACCCTTGATTCCTGACGTCTATTCTAGGAATGATTGAAAATAAATCGCTTTAATAAGACGAACGTTTTCGTGATAGGTCGCGACGAATGTATTTGCTTTTCCTAGATGTTATACGTTCAAAATCACATTTGTAGCATCACTTGAACAAGAATAAACGAGTATATATTTTGTGTAATGATATATGATACCCTTTCCACCAACATATCTCCTTTTTGATGAAATTAATACTCGAAGTTGGTTTGGTGTAATAATCATTTATACGAGGAAAAATGGTGTATTAGTAATTTATTTACAAGGATTTATGCGATTATATAGTCATGACAAAGAATTTATTTCCAGCGTACGATTTTTAAAAATTGATGAAAACGTACCAAAGATATATTTGTACAGTATATTTTTTATTTATCGACACGTTTACGATAAAGAGAGAACTGGCTCCTAGCTTTTTCTCGAATACCGTGTCTTCTGAACAAAATCTATCTACAATTTATAACATTTTTAGCAGTTGTTCTATAAATATTATCGTTGCATCGGCGTTCAATATATCGTTATTTCGGTGTACTTTATCTAGCGATGCTTGACAATGTAAATAATAAAACAAGAAAATAGCTCGCGTCGCTGATTAAAGTTTACGCGACAGTTTATATACGCATATTTATTTATGTCGCAGTTGAACGTCGCAAGTTGAATGAAATATTGGCGACAAGTTGGCCGCGTACAGTCGGCTGCGTTGGCGGTTCATAGCGTGGTAAATGTGGGAAATGTTCACACCATTCAAACTTTCATTTCTCTTTCTCTCTCCTTCCTTCTTTTTCTTTTTTCCTCTATCGTGCCACCGCTATATACTCGAGGCAAAGCCATAAAATATGCTGTGGAAAATCAAGCGTTATATACAATGTATACTCTTGCGCCCAACGAGGGAGTAACCGAGTGAGGAAAACTGTTAACTCGTTACGTATTATCACACTTATTTCAACTATTATAGATCAACATTCACTGCTAGAGCGTTCTACAGTATGCAAACAAATGTGTGTGTGTACGCGTGTGTATAAATATGCGCAATTTTTGATCGCAGTTCACTTAAATTGATGTGCATTTTATTCAGCTTCAATAATTCAACGATATTTTATTTAACTTTTTCTGATCATAATTATAATCATTGGTTGACAGGAATTTTATTAATTAATATTAAATAATTGAATGAGTTTATTGATTATTTAATACAAATTGTTAAATGAGCAGCGCATATTATTTATTCTTTCCAAAGTTAATAAGCAGTATGAGTTTCATTTTTAAATTAAAGCCCTTGCTCTCTCTTTTTCTTTTTCATTTAGATATAACTTTATATTTTACTTTTCCTATATACGCGATTCGACTTATATTTTCAAACGTTTTTAATAGAGGTATTTTTCGTAATCTACGACTGGTCTCGTACAAATTTATTTACACACTAAAAGAATTTTGTTCCGTTTAAATTAATCAATTCTAAATATTTTTCCAAATGAAGTAAAATTCTTGTCCAATTTGCGCGCACGTTCTATATTGTTCCAAACTTTCTCATCTATATACTCGTATAGACCAAAGATATTATTAAGATATATATGTCTTCTTTTTCTCGTCATTTCATTATTGATTCGATGAATCAATAACGAAATGATATAGAGAGCGCGAGACTGAGCGAATATCATCGACAAGGCGATACGAGTCTAAGATTAATCGTTCGTTTCCCGATGACGAACCGTTATCGAACACGGCGACACGTGAATCGATCTCGAGACCCAGACAAGTCATTATTCGGATAGGGAGGAGTAAACGAGATCGCGGGATGCGGTTGCACAATACCGAAGACCGAAGTAGCGATACACGCTAATGGTCGAAGAACTCGCGGAAACGCAATAAGGCTCGGATATCGTGCAAGATGCTGCAGACTAATGGAACAGTAACTTTGCCACCATCGAGCCGGTTTCCCGTCCCTTCGGGGAACAATATATGTTTCCATTGATCGATAATGTACCAGGAAAGAGAAGACGGATCGCGTCTTATCTACAAGAAGTAACATAGCCATTCGCGCGCGCGTCTAGAGTTTGTCCCTAGGTTCATCCCACGAAACGATAGCTTTTCGTCGCTCGAGAAAATACACCCATCAACGATTTCGTTACATTTGCTTATGCTCGAATTGTTGGCACTTATACCTTGACCGCGCGAAAAATCTAAATCAAATCTGTAAAAAATTTTATTTCAATAATAATTTCTGCATTGAATAAAAAATAATGAAGCTTGGTAAATCCATTGTTATCAGTCTAGCTCACGGTAATTTAAATAAAAATGTTAACAACCGATAAACGGGTATAATAAGAACTTGTACTTTTTTTATTCAATCTAATCGACCATCGCAATAACGATAACATCGAGGTGCCTCGGAGGTATTATATATATTAATGTTTGATAGACTCGAGCGAAATTGTGCAAGTCGGTGTGCAACGCCGCGTAAGAATTATTCCCGAGTGCATTACAGCGCAACCAATTATCCTCGCTTGAGAAAGATCCCAGCTTCTTTCATCCGTCCGTCGCAACAATACAACAATCTCCTCCGGTTTCACTTTCCTGTCTTTTACGGAACGACAATAACTTGAGAAGGATGCGTTACGTTTCTTCCTGCGATTGTACCGTCATCCCGATCATAATCGCGGAATTTGATTCAATCATTCGATTCAGTCTTTCGCGATACATCCTTTTGTTAAATCGTATTTTATACATATACGTGCGTGCGAATATATAAACTGCGATTCTTTTATAATCAAGGTATGTTTTTGTTTATGCGCGGGATATTTCGAAAGAGATTGATTTCGTAGGCACGAGAGACGGCGACATAATTCTGGCGATGAGTCACTTTTTGAAACTCGTTAACTCATTACAGAGGCAACGAGCGAGTTTTCCCCCTCGTGCTTCTCCGTCGTCGGTGACGACGAGGTTGGTTGGTTGGTTGGTTGGTTGGTTGGTTGGTTGGTTGGTTGGTTGGTTGGTTGGTTGGTTGGTTGGTTGGTTGGTTGGTTGGTTGGTTGGTTGGTTGGTTGGTTGGTCGGTCGGTCGGTCGGTCGATCATCGTACGTGCACGCTGGACATATGCGCTTGGCAAGGTGCAAATAATAATAATAATAATGGTAATAATCGCGCGCGCAAGAACCGAGGCGTGCCGCGGTCGAAAAGTCAAGAGACGACGATACGGCACGGCACGGCACGACACGTCGGGATTGGGTCGAAGAGTTCGAGTCTCGGCGCTCGGGGACTCATAATCGGTTCGACTTGCTCCTGCGCGACAAGGACGGCAGGCGAAATCGCCGCGAGCGAATTAACGAAAAGAGCGACGGGGAAGGGAGTAGGGCGCGCGCGACCCCGCCGATTGCGGGAACGAGATAGAGAGAGAGAGTGAGGGAGAGAAAGGCGGAAGGTCTAACCACGTGCGCACGCAAGAGAGACAGGATCCACAAGAGCGAGAGAGCGCGCGCGAGAGACACGCCCTGCTGCAGGTCGATAACGGAACCGACGCATCCTCTCTCGCGGCTCTCCGGTAGCTCTCCTGCTTTACACTACCTCGTCAACCCATCCCGCACCCCTCTTTCCTTCACCCTCCTTCGCCCGCTCACGCCCGTCCGGGCCCATCTTTTCGACCTTCTCCTTCTATCGCGCGCGCATAGTCACGTACCACACCCGTCATTCTATCCGTGCCGATCGAGAAAGCGGACTCCCGCATACCTACTCCATCGTAGGGTGTATGCCCACGAGTTACCCCTTCCTCCAACCTCTTCCAATCCTTCTTTCCGTGCGCGTCCCTCTTCTCGCACGCTCCAATCTTTCCCGAAGATACCACCGTGCCGTGGATCGCATTATCACGCGCATCTAAACCTATCCGAGAGAAGGCTGGCGTAGCTGGCTACGGACCGTGTGTTTCGTATACGTACGATTCTACGCAGTAGCGTATAACTAGATGTCCCTCTATTACCCTCTACATTATCATTTTCACTCGTCTCAAATCTAATCTGACGTAACGCGTTAGAAAGTCGATCGATATACACTACATGCGCATGTTTTCTGTTGCAAGTATGAGCGATAATTCATCGAGAGAATTTCTTTGCTGACAAGTGTCATATTTAAGAGAAATTTGATCAATCTTTCCTCCAGTTACAACACCGCGATGTTACTTTGCGCGTACAAATGTATATGTGTACAAGTACACACGCACACGTAAGATTCGTATCGTCGCATCGAACGATGACGACGACGACGACGATTCTTTTCCTTCTTCTCGTCCCTTTTTTCGTTGCGACATCAGCCCGGTCGAAAGTATCCTTTTCCCTCTCTCTTTCCGAAGGGTATCGTCCTTTTCTTCGGGGCTGCCTTGTTTCGTCAGCCCTTCGAGCGCCCCTTTTGCTTGTCCCCAGTGTCCTACACCCTTCTCTCTTTCCGCCATCCTCTCCGACTCATTGTCAGAAGTGACTCAGAAAATTTTCATCGATAGATGAGTGTAACTTTCACGACAGCGGTTTTTATTGTGACTCGCGCGATATTGATCATTGAAACATTAACTAAACCGCATAAACTAAATGCGTTTTGTTAAAGTTGCGAATCTCGAAAACATTATTCGGGGTGTGTTTCATTTTTTATATCGCTTAATGATAATCAAAAAATCTGCGAAACATCATCGTTCGACTCGTCGTATATCAGTTGTAAAGATTGGAAATTAAAAATGAAAATTAAAAATCAAAATATTACAGAATCCTTTGAAAAGTTACCTGTACTGGACATTAACAAAGCTCGTTGGCGCAGCTGAAAGAGTACAATATCTGAATATTCTTTCATTATCGGAAAAATCTGATACTTACTTTCATGTTGTTGACAATGCGATATGCATAATATTTCGCGAGAAGAATTTTAACAAATAAAATAACTGCACTTTTTATTTCAAAGGTGAACAAATTTCGATGCATTCATAAAAATAAAACAGGGCATTGAACCTCAACAAGATAAAAAATGCTTGCATATAACAAAAATCTCATTTAGTATGAACGATGAGGTAATGCAACTTTCAAGCGCATTTCGAAAGGTATGCAAAAATATTTCTCTTTAGATTCTCTTTAATTGTGTAGCACCAAAATTGATTAAGAGATATATTGCGATAAAAACTAATGGTATAAAAATTCGGAGCAAAAATAAAGATATTTTGAAGCGAATATAATGACACATTTGTTACTCGCTGGAAAGAAAGAGAGAGAGAGAGAGAGAAAGAAAAGGAAAATTCCACGATACAAACACATTCCGTAGAATTATAATTTCGCAAATTCCTCGCAAACTAAGTTTGAATGAAAGTCGACGCGGACGAATCCACGCTCCACTTTACGAGCTTCCGCAACGCTAACACCAAACTTTATCCCTCGGAAGGGAAAGAGAGAGGCCAAGAGTGAGCCCGTAGAGAGTTAGATTTTACAAGGTTCCATTTACATAATTCCCCGAAATGTGTTAGTGTTGCCCGTTTCCCATCCATTTTCAAATACGGCCTAACAAGTAACAATATCTCGTTATCCGACACGATGTCTTTTCACCTCTCCTCTTTTCCACCTCTTACCATCGATGGGGATATTTATTGTCCCGAATTGGACAGAACCCACCATTACAAAGGGACGATAGATTCGCAGCGTGATCTCTTCGTTGAACGATCACTGAAGCTTGAAAAATATACGCGGTGTTTCCTAAGGTTTGTATTTTGACTTTTAGAAATTTATATATTTTCATAGAATTTTTTACTTTGAAATCGACTATTGAATGTCATTCTCCTTTTCAAATTTTTTTCATGTCCATATAATGATTATTTAAATGTCGATTAATATTCTTTAAATCTCGTTACTTTTAATTTGTTTACACATATATAATGTAAAACTTATACGTATATCCTAAAATTGCTTTCAACATTTTATTAGTTTTCTTCGCGATCTGGTTAGTAAAACAAGTTTGCTTATCGTTTTATAGCTACAGCGAGGCAAACTGGAAAGCCGATAGGTTACAGTTACTTATACGTGTAAGTAATCGTCAAATATTAATATATTTAATATATAATTATATTAATATATAATTATATGTATGACATATATTATTGCAAAATATAAATATGTATATATTTTAAATTTATTATTAGGCTAAATTTTTGTACGTAATTTTAACATCGGATAGTCTGTACGCAGGAAATTTATTTATTAGAAACATTATAACGGATATAAAAAAGATGTTTGTACAAAAATAAAAAGTATACAAAATGTTCATGTATAATAGATTACAAATTTCTTTGGACAAAGTATATGCTATACATTTTGAGGAGAAAGATTAATTAAATTATTCGTTATATTTTCACACGAGTCAATCTCTACTCGGTCTACTACTTTGCTGAGAAATATGCTCTTGATGCAAACCTTATGAAACTCCCTTGTACAGGTGGTCGATGCACGTTGGTCGGCTGGCTAGCTTACCTGACCGCGTTACAAGCGCGTGCCTACTCTGTGTCTGTTCTGTGTGACTCCAGTTGAATGCGAAGAAACGGGTCGAAAGAAAAAAAACCATCGTCGTGTGACAGTTGGTGTCTAGAGTCATTCATTCTTTCATTGTTGGTCTGTGACGGATTGAGAGAGAGAGAGAGAGAGAAAGGGAGAGTGATTGTTGAATATTTGTTCCATAAAGAGAGCAAAATAATGAAAATGTAAGTTTTTGCCTACAGTTTTAACACGAGTTTTCTGATTAATTGGATATTTTATTTGGTTCCCTGTGTTATTTAATTATATATTAGCATATTATTTTTAATTACATATTAATATATTAAATATAAATATGTAACTGTGCATGTGTAATTACTACCTACTTTCAAAGTTTCTCCCTCTCTCTCTTTCTAAAATGTAAATATTGAAAATAATACAACTAAATGTGTATATCTGTTAACGAGTAAAGGATTTTTCCTCTCTGCAAATTAAATAAATTGGGCAGTTAAATAAATGTCATACAATCTCTGTAGAGGGAGGTGAAAGCGATTCGTAGTGCAAGGGATTCCGTCGAATAGGCAGATTTGCGAGGGCGAAAGGCAACTACGGGTGCTGACGGAAAAAGCACGGAGTAACTCGACGAGGGGGTAAATATGCGACAACTTAGCGTCCGCGTATAAATCTAGCAACGTTCACGGTGACAAGTCACGCAGCGCGGAACCTTCTAGTTTAGATCGCTGTCCGTTCGTCCACCTATATACATATATAGGTGCCGCAACGCGAGGTAAGGGTAAGTTAGGTTACTCCGACTGGGGAACAGAAGGGTGTATCGCAAAAATTTTTTAAAGTCTCGGAATTAAAAAAAAATTTGCTTTCTTTGAATTATAGCGTGCATTGACGCAAGATAAATAAGCAGGTCAGATAAACCAAATTTATAATAGTCTAATATTATATAAATAAACGTTATATGCGTATATTATATATAAATATTAACAAAAGTCTGTAAAAGAAATGTTAATTTTCGTTTCTTGCTTTGCTGCAATAAATTAAAAATATTTTTTATATTACATTCTTTGTAAAATGTATATCTGATGATTTTTGTATTGCATTTTGCATTGTTACAAATTGTTCATTTTTAAGACGTTATATACTCGTACATCCAATGTCAATGAACTGTATATGAATTATATTAAATAAATTTTGTATGACGATAAATTGCAAATAACATCTGCGATAATATTGATGAGTATTCGAAAAATACGAAAAATTTAGAGAGAAAACTAAAACTGTCGCATCTTATCTCATTTATTTTTAATTTCGAAATGGAAAAGCTTTCATTTTAAAAGCGTTGTAGGACATGATACTTCGACATGTGTGTTAAACCGACCGAGTTATAAAATAAAATAAAATCTCAACTTTACTAATAGGAATGGAAGAATAATTTACACACACACACACACACACACGCGCGCGCGATATGAAATATATTAACATTATAAACATATAAACTGTTGTATTAATAAAATCAGCATATTTTGCCCACTTCTATCCTTTCTTGGAAAAAAAAAAAAAAAACCGCGTCACACAAAGTTGGTTCGCAGCTCTTACGGTAGCCTCTACGCGCGTCTGTGCGCGTGGTTTTGCCGGACTGATTAATTAATTGTAAAGAGCCAGTCGACGATATGGTCGCGTATACGAGCGAGCGGCAAAGCAAGACGTACGTCTTTCGTGTTGCGAGGGTGGTCGAGTGTTTGCCGGACGAAGGTCGAAAGCGAGTTCTCTCTCTCGCGATAAAGGGGAAGAGTCGGCCACGCGCGTGATCGACGTCCGGGATAAGGGTAGACAATAATCTTTTTAATAGAATAGAAGAAACGAAAGAACGGTTTCTCCAGCGAGAGTACGAATACCTAAACTACTCGTCGACGCTGACACCAACATCGAAGAACGAAGGCGCAGGTAGTATAGTGCAGATAGCGGATTGTGTGTAAGACACGTGGTGTGCGCGCTCGGTCCCTCTTGGGGTAGCTCCGTAACAGGGTGTCGCAACGGTATACCGTTGCGGCGAAAGAGAGAAAGAGACGGTTAAATCGCCCTCGAGGAGGGGTAAAGGATGAATAAATTTATTATAGGAAAAAGAGAGAGGGAAGGAAGGGAGTCGAAGCTGTGACGCTGGTGGTAGTTTTGTGCGAAATTACTGGGTTTACCGGTATACGTTTAAGCAGGCGCGGTGCGCGAAACGGGAATGGAAGGGTAGGAGAGGGATGCAACTTGACGTGTGCGGAGGCGGAAAGAATGGAAAAGAGCGGAAAGGGGAAAGGGAGCGGAAGGACACGGACTATGTTGCATGCGTGCGAAGCGAGCTAGCGCGATGGCGCAAGTGGTATATAGGAAGTCGGGGAAGAGGGTGGCGAGAGAGAAGGGTGGAAAAGGGAGGAAGGCGGATCACGAGAACCGAGAACGGGGCACTAAAGCGCGCTAAAGTTCTCTCTCTGCAAACATGGCAGTCGTCACGCAAGTCACAAAACCCGTACACGATATCTCGCTCGACTTTACCTCGCCACAGGAAAACGACGTCCGGGTATATATGTATGTATATCCGTGCAAGAGACTGCGGTGTGTCACACGCAAGTGAACGAGCACGGCTCGGCATCATCGGCCATCGTCGTTTATTCGCGCGTGTTGAGAGAAAGAGAGAGAGTATGTGACCAGATTTAAAGTGCGCGCATGCGTTCTCATCTGATAGGTAGTTTTTTTTTTTTTACATCTTTCGTGTTCCCCTTTTTTTCGCGCCCTTTAAGCGACTGCGAACGCGAGCAGGGGTCGTAAAAAATGATTTAATCAGCGCGACCCAACTTGAGAGAATCGGAATCGGATTTTTCTTCTCGATCGATGCAGCGATTAAAGTGGCAGAGATTGGCGAAGAGATCCAAAACTGCGCGCGCGAGATAAATCGAAAAATGACGTTAGCTATATCTCGAACTCGATTATCGAGCACGTGGCTTTAATATCCGGTTTAGATAGAGAAGAGATTTACATGTCGAGCGAAACACTTGTTTATAACCATGCTTCTATCAACCGTTTAAGAAAAGTAAACGAATGGCTAACTCGTTACTTCTTTCTACAGGATAAGAAAAACGAGCGAATGTAAGCTGTTACATGATTCATCTTGTCTATTACTATGTTGGTATATTCGCGGCGTTAACTGTCTCTGCCCACCTACGACATTCTATAGGCATAACTGTCGCGAATGCGCTATTAACTACAAAGCTCATAAATGCGGGAGACATTATCGCAATATTTTATTAGGTTAGCGTTAAAAGCTCGTTCTGTTCTAGTTGTGAATTACGGGCATTAATGGTGAATAAAGGCGATATAATTAGATATATCATTTGTGTGTATAAGGCGAATTAACATAAAATTCTAAAGTATTGAAAACACGACTTGTTTGAATAGATTTAGCCTCTTCTTCGTTGGAGCATCTTCTTGAATCGACGAGAGATCTGTCGCCGATTGCTTAAATCGGACTCTTGTCAAGGACCGACGAAGACAGCCCTGAATAGCGTTTGTCAAGAACGATCCAAATAACGAACTTGACGGTGACGCTTGGCGCCCACCCTTTCTCGATATCTGGTGAAAGGAAATCTCGCGAATATCTCGAGGACACTCGAGTGTATTACCATGAGTTTTCTTTATTCTGCGTCAAGTCGTTTTCATACCAGGAATTGTGAAATTGTCATTGATAAGAAAGAGAGAAAAAGAGAGAACTTAAGAGAGAAAGAATTTTTACATTTTCACAAAAGAAAAGATTTTTTTATAACATTCCTTAAAATATTAATTTTCATTGTAAGATAACGGTACGAGCAGACAGCTATAAGAATATCATTTTTTCTTATTCACATGACAAAAATATAATTTGAACAATATTACGCATCAAGAATTATATTTTGGAAACGTCAAAATTTTTTTAAAAATCTGTATTTAAACTGTAATAGTATTATTTATTATAAACTCATTTATATCACAAGAGCTTATCATTGTAGTAAATTGACTAATATTAATATTACATCAACTTTGTATGATCTTATTGTAGTAATTAATAAAAAAATATCAAGACATCACCGCAGTAACGTGTCAGATATGTATTAAGATTTCATATTTTCTTAAATCAACCGCGTGCCAGAATCTATATCATACGTGTTTATCTAAAAAGAAAAAATAGCAAATTTTGTTTTACTCTATATCATAGTAATTTGAAATTTTTGAATATTATATACGTATATTTACTTTTTGATTAATCAAAGAAACTAGTGTTGCAGTAATTAAAAGATAGGAAATAGCACATTAGAAAGCTGACAATGGGAAAAAAAGAAATGTATCTCAGATTGAAAATACGTAATTTCAACTAATCGCAAAACGTGTTGGCGAGATGTTTGCGCAAATTATGTGGTCCTCAATGTGGACGCAATCGTAAAGACCATTAGGCGTGAAAAAATTGTAATCGTAACCGTGAGGTCGTAAACAAATCGACCAATAGCAGTGAAAACATTCTTACTACATTGTGAGAATGCCTGACTGCGATTGGTCGATTAGCTTACGGTTACGATTAATACTTTTTTCACGTGCAATGGCCTTAACGGAAAGAGGGCGTTGTCGAATACAATGAAAGCATATCGCATATAGAGACGGTGGAAATCGGGACGACCGCGTCGAGATATACCGCAAGGATCGAGATCATAGAGGCGATCTTACACAGCCTAGATTCGATCGTGGCTCGGCGCGGCCAGCAGCTACGCGCTGCAAATAATTACAGCCGTCCTCTTACATTCCATAGCAAGGCGGGCAAACTGGTTCCGAGCGCGGTCACTTGTGCTAGGATACGGAGAGATTCGCGGAGAGGAAATCATATTTCTTCAACTATCATATACGTGTTTTTCGCGTATCGCCTTGCAAGGCGTTGCGCCCAGGACAGCAATCGCGATAATATTGTACCGTGTAGGAGTTTTCATGATAATTGCAAGCATGAATAAAGAATGCTATTTGGATTATCACGCCGTTTCACTGTATTTTCTTTCAACGACGGATCTTTTAACAAAAATACCGTTACATTTCCTCTGCGAGTTCGATAAAACGAAATCATTTATATTTTTTACATTTTTAACGTGACATTTGTCCTAAATATCTCGAATTAAGATGTCGTTAGTCCAAGTTTATTCATTATCATCATCATTATATATATATATATATATATATATATAAATAGATGCACAATGCCATTCGACAAATAAATTTATCGTTAAAGCAAACTCCTCAAATTATATATAATTAACTAAAGAATAAGATGCGATTGTGTGTCAAATTTGATTTATCATATTTTTAATCATTCCAATTCCTCTAATTTCCAATATAAAATATAACTAGATCTTTCTCTCTCTCTCTCTCTCTCTTTCAGAATTTTTAATTTAAAAATAGTTATTGCAAAAAAAAAATTAAAATTTAATAATTTAAAGAAAACTGCGCAACTTTTAAATCAACAAGAGTAACCTACGCGCGATATCCCTAATGTTTACACTCGATCGTAGAAAGATTTTTCAAACAACAGAAAAATATATACTTCCACGGGTACGAGCCGCTATGGCGGTCGTAAGCGCATTAATAATGTAAGTGTGCAGATGGTGTGCAGTGAGTGCGCGGCGCCGCTGACTAGGATCAATGTTCCGTTCGCGATCTATATAGTACACGCCGCGCGCCACGATATATAGGTAACGATAGACAGAGTGAGAGAGAGAAAGAAAGGGAGAGAAATATAGTGTATGTGTATGAGATGACACGGTTCACGGTTCTCTCTCTTTCTCTCTCTCTCTCTCTCTCTTTCGCCCTTGTATAATGCATTTACACGAATATTTTAATCAATCGTAGCACTAAATTTCCATATGGAAATGAGTTTTCTTTCTCTCTTTCTCCCTTTCGCTCAATCGATCTGAATTTGGTTACAACTCGATTCGCGAGAAAGAACAACTCCTTTAACTTGTTCCTTCAAAGGAAAAACACGCTTTGTAAAGGTCCACGTATTCCATTCCTCGTGTTTTCGCGTAAGCTCGCTACTACATTTATATAATTGTTGTAGGAAGCTTAAAGCACAATATTTTAGAAATTTTTTATAATTCAGGACGAAAATCTATTTACACTAACCCGCAAAAATGGACCACTAAACTCTAGTACAATTTTTAACATATTTGAATTGCGATATTTAAGATAATTGAGTAAAAAAAATCAAATTAAAATTTGAACATTTTTCTTAATACTCCAAAAAAACTAAAATTTAATTATCAAAAATGTTTTACTAAATGGCTGACGTTGAAGATAGACGTTAAAAATAGGAAAAAATGTTTTTTTATTTTTGCGTAGTTTAGGAAAATCGGTCTCTTGGTACAAAAAATTAGAATTTTTAATCTCATTAATTTCCTAACAAATCCATATATTATAAAATTTATCTATAACCTTTTTGATTAAGTTTAATTAAGTTTTGTAGAAAATGTTACAAATAAATCTTTATCTTCAACGTCCGCCATTTTGTAAAACATTTTTTTGTAATTCAATTTTGGTTTTTTGAGTTATTAATTAAGCTTTGCTTCATCTCAATACGATGATTTTTATTGACTTATCGCAATTCAAAGATGTCTAAAAATTGTGCTAAATTTTGGTGGCCTATTTTTTTGCAGGTGAGTATATACAATATAATTTTATGTGTCAAACATGTGCTAAATATAAAATAAAAATATATATATTATGTATTAATCCTATATTTAAATTAGAATAATGTATCGATGCATTCGTAAAATTAAATCATTTTAATTTATTAATTTCCCTTGTTTTCAAGTGCGTCATATTGGCTTATTACCACATATACAGCTTATCTATACAAATAATTTAATACAGTCATATTACGAATAAAACAAAATTCTCGACGCAATGCTACGATAGATAGCATTAAAGCTTGAATTGAGATTGTTAAATTTAATTATTTAATTTTGTTGTGTACATACACAACCTGTCTATAAAAATATAGCACATGTTCAAACTTCATAAATATAATTGTAACTTTACAAATCTTCTCTACATTATATTATATTAAATTCTATACAGAATTTTGACTCGAATATTCAGCGGGGACGACTCATAAATCGTTCAAAGTAAACTAAAATTTTAATGTATTCAAATCATCGTTGTTAGAATCGGAGAATCAGGCATATATGCGAGGATATAAATAATAACGTACTTTATAAATTTATTCACATGGTTTAAATAAATCAAGTATACAGTTAAGAGAGTTTCACGACACACATGCGCAAACGTTTGCACGGCGTCCTCTCGATGGATCGCGGGCGCATGTCTCTCGCTTAAGTTTCTCACTCTTTATTTCTTACCCTCTCTTTCATGCGACAAACAGTATCTTACACGAGGCGCAGCAATAAAGGGTATGTATTCAATATACATATTTACATATCGTACAATCATACTTTTCTCCTGTTTCTTTTGCTGACATATAAAATTACAAAAAGTCATTCATTTAATCGAAAATTCAGAATCCAAGCTAGCATCATGATCCTATTACGCGGCGAAATGTGACGCGTGTCAATTACATCTATGTACACATACTCACACTCACAATGTATATACGTACATTGTATATACAGATGTATATTGCATAGTAGCGTATTTACACGAATTCGCAGTAAGTAGAAATAAGTATTTACACGAGAGTGAAATCCGCCGCGAAAGGGATAGCTTGATAATTTATACACGATCACGCGAGACGAGATTCTTGCGCGCATTCGCGTTTTATTGCTCGCTAAAGTTATCGAGTTAAATGTTAAATAAACAAAGTATTTCAAAACTTTGGTCTTTAACGACCCTTTATCTGTTTATGAATTTCGAGTTGACTTGCGTTCTTAGAAAAATTACACAAATTGTATTTTTGATATTTCATTACAAATAGATTGTAAAGAGATTCATTTCTTATAGTTGATAGTTCGAAATAAATTAAGATTATAATAATATATAACGAGAAATTAATTATGAAAATAAATGCGAGATAACTAATTAAATCTTTTCTTATACACTTTTAAGTAGAAAAAAATTCAATTTATTTCTTATAGTTGATAGTTCGAAATAAATTAAGATTATAATAATATATAACGAGAAATCAATTATGAAAATAAATGCGAGATAACTAATTAAATCTTTTCTTATACACTTTTAAGTAGAAAAAAATTCAATTTACAATATCACTTACATCAATATTTTGGTTGCAAACAAAATTCATTTTGTATATAAAGGAACACCCTATACCCAAACGAAACGTATTCTTGCGACATGTCATTCAGAAATTCGCAATTACTCATTCCGAGGGTGCGCATACGCGCAGCAAAGGGGGAGATCTTATTACGTTGAACGGAGCGAAGGAAGACGAAGGAGAAATAAAAAAAAAAAAAAAAAAAGAATCAGGAGAAAAATGCGTCGGTCAAATTATAATAACAGAAAAGAATAAAAGTTATCGCGTATCGTCGAACGAGAAACGAACGACCCGTTATCACATCTTGAAAATCTTGACAGATAATTATGATACGCGAACATTCTGTCCCTCTCCCTTCGCGACAACGTCTCTGAGCTATGTACACGTGTATCTCGCGGAGATTCGTGGTTCGATACGCGTCTTTGAGAATTGATAAGGTCTATCGAAATTGCGGATCGACTTTGAGGTCGCAACGACGACGTCGCGAATCACGAATCACGAGCGCAAGATTCAGCACAACCTTTCGAGAACGAGCTACCTCATCGTTAGCGATGGTCAAATCGACGACACGATGACGGAGCTAAACTAGATAGGCCTGTCCGGAGGAGGGCGGGGGCGGCGATGGCGGCGGTTGCTGCTGCCTCCAGGCGGTCCTCTCGAGGGTTGAATAGTCGGAGTCGATGGACGAGTAGATATGCTCGGATAGTGGTCTCCTGTGGTCCTCGCCGATGCCGGAGTTGGTCGTAGCGGTAGCGGTCGTGATGAGATTACTGACTGGCAGCATCACGTCTCGGTAAGCGTGATTGACCGTCAGCCTAGGTTGCGCCGGTGACGACAAAGGCGGCTGCGGTGACGGCTGCTGCTGCTGCTGCTGTTGTTGTTGTTGTTGCGGTAATATGGGGAAAGAGGAGAACCGCACGAGTAAGCGGGTGGCGCGTGTTGCAGCATTAGCGCCGAAGAAGTGTCCTTGAAGAGCGCGGCGCGTTGACCACCACGCAACGTTGAAACACCGCTCTTCTCGAGGCTCCCGATGCCACCATCCAGCGTATAGGTGTTGATATTACGTTTGTAAACCAGCGGGGAAGATTTGCTTTCCACGGATACGTCACCAGCGGCGACGCCGGTAGTGGTATTAGTGGCAATAATGGCGGCAGTGGTGGACGGCGGCATGGCGTATCTCAATCGTTCCCAAAACCTCTTCTCACCCCACGTAAGTACGAGTGCCGCGGTTCTCAGATAAGGCCGTAACTCAGGATCACGTTCAATCTCAATGTCGACGTGACCGGCCTGTATAATGATCAGCTGGGAGGCACGACCGCGCAGAGCCTCGTGCAGAGCCGCGCGGAACTCGAAGCGCGACCATTCGGTCTGGAGGAATTTAGGGGTCAGCACGATTAACACGCGTCGCGACGCATCTACCGCCTCGAGAATCGCTGGCGCGGGCGCGGAGGCGCGCAGAATGCAAGGTAAGTCTCGGTGATGAAGACAGAGTCTCAAACTGGCGTGCTCCAGCTCGACCGCCAATGATCGTAGCACAAAGTCCTCGTCGTTCGGGCTATAACAAACATAGCAGTCGTACACGCGATCGCGATCGGCGTCGCAGCAACCCGCGCCCATGGCAGCCGCGGAGCCCATGGTAGCCGTTGTCACGACAGTCTTGCTGGGTTTCGCGCGCAAAAAACGTAATCCATACTTGGAGTACGCCCAGGCACCGACAGGTTCACGGAACACGAAGGCAAGTACTATAATCACTAGAAGAACGAGAACGGCCGAAAGAGTAGCAGCCACCAAGGGCAGATAGTCCGACACCATGATACTCTCGATCATGCCACCCTGGGAGAAGTAGTCCGAACAAGCGGTCTCGTTGACGTTTAAACGACGCCGATAGGCCGTCTGTCTGGCATCACCGCCGTAGTAACACCACACATCGCTAGCGTCGATGACCTTGTGCGCGTTGTCCGACACCCAGGAGGACAACTCCTGCAGAAACTTGCAGCGGCAAGACCACGGGTTGCCGCCCAGGGACAGCTCGACCAATCGGGCGTTGAGAGTGACCTGCCATACAGGGAAGGTTACCAGTCGATTACCATGCAATCTGAGAATCTCGAGCGATCGCAGGGGTAGGAACGTCAGATTTCCGATAAAACCAATCGCGTTGTTTTGTAAATAGAGCTCGCGCAAGTGCGACAATCGTTCAAACTCAAATCCTTTGAGCTCGCGTATTCGATTGTCCTCGAGATGGAGAATTTGCAGGTTGTTGAGACCGTTGAACGTGCGATTCTGAATGGACTCGATGCTACTGGCGTTTACGTACAGCACGCGCATGTTCTTACGGCCGATGAATGCGTGATTCTGCAACTCTCGTAACACGTTGCCGTCTAGATACACTTCGGTTGCGTCCATCGGAATTCTACGTGGAATCTCCTCGACCGCGAGACCCGAGCAATCAACCGCGTTCGTATTCCATGTGCGATCGTTGTAGCATTTGCATCCAGCTGGACAGGTCATCTCGCAGTCGCAGGCGTCAAAATCGCAGCAGTGGCACAAAGCAAAGCAATGCGCCTCGTAACGGCAAAGAAATTGCTCCGAGCGAGCGCTCGAGGCCGGAACGATAGCGACTCCTCGCGGTCCAGAGGTACGGCACATGGCGTTGTCGAGATCCATGACACGCGGATATTCCCGAGTCGAAGTCTGATTATTGATGGCCGGTAGCCAATCCATCGAGCAATTGCAATTGAAGGGATTGCCTCCGATGTAGAATTCTGGCAGAGGCTTATTGTCTGGCACCTTGGTCAGTAACAGCGATGTCAACTCCATTGACTCGATCATGTTGGCGTACATGTCCACCCGGGTGAGATTTACTTTCTCGGCGAATGTATTGGGTCGTACGGTGCTGATATAGTTATTGTTTATAAACAGTAACTCGACGCTGTCCGGCACGGATAGCGGCGAGAGTTCGGTAATACGATTGTGACTGGCGTCCAGGGTTCGGACCTTGGAATCGCGAATCTTGTAATAATTGCCGAGGCTCTCGATAAAGTTGCCGTGAATGTCGAGCCACTTGAGATTGCCCGGGATGAAAGCGTAATCGAACCACTCTATGTGATTTTCCGATAGATTTAGCAGCAGCAGACTGGTGATACTTGTAAACACGCCGTTGATGTCCGACAAAAAATTGCCGTCGAGGCGAATAGCCTCGAGTCTAACGTTGCGTTCGAATGCATGCCTCTCCACGTGTTGTACCTTGTTACGGGCCAGATTGAGAATCTGGAGATTCGGCAGGTCCCAAAGCATGCCGCGCGTCAAATTGCCAATGTCGTTGCCGATCAGACGGAGACCGGTGAGCTGGTGGAGATTGCGGAAAGAGCCATTATGGAACTCGTTGATTCGGTTCTCACCTAAATCCAGGGTCTTGAGAAAGGCGAGATCGCGCAACGCATCCGGTACGGCAGTGAGCTCGTTGCCGCTTAAATCCAATTCCTTAAGATCGGAACAATTGCGAAACGCGACGGGGTCGATATTCGCAATTGAATTCCCCGACATGGTCAGGCGATTTAGGACGAAGAGACCATTAAAAAGCTGCGCTCCCACGGTATGGAGTTTGTTGTCGGATAGCTCGAGCGTGTGGAGATTGTAGAGCGGTAGAAATGCATTGCTCTCGATACGATCGATCGAATTATTGCGTAGATCAAGGATCTGCAAGAAAAACAGGTCCTTAAACATGCGAGCGTCGATGTGCGTTAATTGATTGTACGACAGATCAAGTACGATGAGGCGAATTAGGCCGAGAAAGGTGGTCTCGTTGACGCGATCGCTGCCGAGACGATTATTGGCAAGATTCAAAACTAGCAGCTGGTCAAGATGAGTAAATACGCCCGAGGGCAAGTCACGTAGTCCGTTGTACGCCAAATGTATTTCCCGCAGGTCACGCGTGCTGGCGAAAAGGCCTTCGGGCAAGGAGTCTAGGACGTTGTGGCTGGCATTGAAGGTGCGCAGCATCGTGAGTCCGTCTAAAGCGTTCTTGTCGATCTCGGCGATCACGTTGCGTTGCAAGTGTACTTCTTGCAACTGTCGTAAGCTCACTAGTGGCCCGTCCACGGACAATCGTCGGAGCTCGTTGCGCGACAAATCCAAAATCCGAACATCGGCGCGGCAGGCCTCGGTACCTAGCACTTTGAGACCAATGTCATCGATGTCACTAATACGATTACCGGTGAGATTCAGAGTTTGCAAGTTATCTAATTCACAAAGTAGATTGGGCGGCAATCTCAGTACGTTGCTTTCGATGATTTCGAGAGTGTGAAGTTCGCGAAGACCTAGAAGAGAGCGTGGCGCGAACTCCAAATTTTTGGCAGCGCCCCAGGCGGCATTGAAAGTTTGTACGACAAGCCGCTTGAGCTCGAGTAGGGGCTGAAACGCACCTTCTGGTATCCGTAACACTTTACAGCCGTGCACGTGCAGCTCGTGCAAACCAGCGAGTCGTTGCCAGCTCTGCGCGTTCAGGCTGCTCTCGAAATGATGTACATCGCTGCAACGAATCCGCAATCTGAGCGCGCCGTCCAGCGACGGTGCTAGAGCGACGATTGCCGTGGGATCCAGCACGCGAAGAGCGCAATCCGCCGATCGGGTGTCGTTCCCAGCCTCATTGGTCCATCGGCAGGAAGCTGCGACCGGACCAGGATGTGTTGACATTAGTAGCAATAGCAGTAGCGGTAGCGTCGTCGCGAGCAGGCGGCGCGACGATCCGGCCGTGCTTGCCAACGACGACGACGACGACGACGACCACGACGATAACGATGATAATGACGACGACGACGACGATGAAGACGCTGTCGTTATTACCGTCGTCGTCGCCGTCGCCATCGCAACAACACTATCCCTCGCTGTTGTCATGTCGCGTTGTGTTTTCATTGAAAACAATTTATCCCTTTGCACTCGATGTCAATGTCGAATTGGTGGGCGATGACGCTCGTTTCGGCACTCTCCAAGTAACCAGCAACCTTTCTCTTCCTTCTCTTTCATTCAAGCAAACGGCACACGCGTACAATGACCGATACACAACAGCTACGCGACTCGGCACAACAACAACGACGATAACGACGAGGACAAGGACGAGGACGACGACGACGACGACGACGACGGCGACGGCGACGACGACGACGACGACAACGATGACACACGCATGTACGCACGCCACATATACACGCGCGGCTTACAGAAGGGAGCGCGCGCGCGCGCGCGCGCGCTCACGCACCTCGTATCACGTATCAAACACGGAGCGGCCCATTTCCTTCGCCCTTTATCCGCGGGCTGGCCACCCCTGTGAGCCACCCCGTTGCCGTTCCGCAAAATGCTGCACTGTCACTTCTGTCACTCGCGTTTCACTCACGAGTCCTTGTCACCCTCCTTATGTTGTATATTGGCAGTTGAGCTCGTCAAGCTTTCCTCTTCTCTTTCTCGTGAAAGATATCGTTATTGATATCCAATCCTGCGGGATAGCTGTGCGCGCGCGTTCCCGTTCTCCCGTATTCGCGACGGCCGAATTAATTTTCCAATCTCGTGTCACGATTGTGCACGACGGCGAGAACGTTTTTCGATCAACGACCAGCCAAAACAAGCTGCATACGAGCGCAAGCATTCGAAGCACTCGTGCTGCACCGTCGCGCGCGCACTCACCTCACATCGAGCACACCAGCACTGAATCCAGCCGTAAACGCCTGAGCGCGCATCATCGGCATTTCCGACCGTTGCGGCCCCCAACCCCTCCGACCGTGCTCCGAGACTCCGAGGGCGCCACTTTACTATACTTGTCGACCAAGACTGATGGACCGGATCGGAGAGTCCTTGTAATTTACAGGATTCCCTAATTTATTCTACAATATTTCCGAAATTTCAACAAATAATATACAGAGAGAAAAGACTATGGAAATCTCTATAGGTGTAATCGTCAACTATATACTGATTCTAATTCTTCATTTTATGTACAATATTACAGGGAGCAAGACAGAGAGGGAAATGAAGGGGAGAAAGGGAGACAGAGAGAATTGCGTTAAAATTATTTTTATTGTATATACAAGATTATTTAAAGTGCGACTTTTAGATTCTACATAACCATTTCATTGGTTAGATAGAGTCTAGGGTCCTATTTAAACAAATTTGCATGGAGAAAATCATTCATCTACGAATCATTCAATATGAAAAAGATAGCAATATGGCATCTTATTAAACACTCTATCAGTCAATTTTTTTTTATGAATTATGCATCTGAATTATGCAAATTTATCTGGACAAGTTCCCTCAAGATCACTTAAAAGTACACTTGAGATAATTCTATCAGAAAGAAACATGAGATGGGCGGTCACCGGGATTCAGCGGCCGCGTGTACTAGTGCGCCCCTTGAGAAAGTGAACATAAACTACATCGTGATGTTCGGTGAACAGCACGGTAAATGGTTTGATTCCGTGATATGGTTCATGTCCAAATTATTCAGATATAAGAACCAAGTTGAGAACTGAACAGATGAGTCAGACAAGGACCAATAATCCATCGCTCTGGCTTTGTCTCACTAACGATGAACGTCTCGCAGACTCGTGCGGCGGCAAGCATGAGATTATATATTATTTTTATTATATATTATATATTATATATTATTTTTATTTTGTGTTTGCTGATATATATATATATATATATATATATATATAATAAAAATAATATTGTGCCTGCCCCGCACGAGTCCGCGAGACGTTCATCGTTGGTGAGACAAAGCCAGAGCAATGGATCATTGGTCCTTGTCTAACTCATCTGTTCAGTTCTCAACTTGGTTCTTATATCTGAATAATTTGGACATGAACCATATCACGGAATCGAACCATTTACCGTGCTGTTCACCGAACGTCACGACGTAGTTTTTGTCCACTTTCTCAGGGGACGCACTAGTACATGCGGCCGTTGAATCCCGGTGGCCGCTCTCATGTTTCTCTCTGGTTCCTATCAGGGAGAAACATGTTCCTAAAGGAGCCTTTTCACGAGCCGCTGAAACCGATTGTTTGAGCGACAAAAATGATCACGTAACAACTTTTGTCGCTGAACTAAACAGCGATAATTATTGTAGATGAAAAGGATAGCAGCGCGACAGAATTGAAAGTTGAGCGTATGAGAGTAGTAAATGCTCTGTAGTTGAACTGATTCAAACTACAAAATTGTTGGTGCTGAATTACGAGCGACAAATCTGTCGCTTCAATTACTTGTTTTAGCGGCACGTGAAATTGCACCTTAAAACATTAAGATCATTTGGATCTCTAGCCATAAAGATATAGAAGGCAATGAACGAGCTGATGTTCTGGCGAAGGAGTCACTGTACAGTCTGGATCTTTTCCAATTCTGTAAATGTTATACTAACTTATATTCAAAAAATATCAGATAGATCCATCGATATCCCGAAACGTGAAAGCGTATACAAAATTTTTAGGTACTTCAACCACATTAAAAATCAATTTTATAATTCCCCTGGTTCCATCAAACCAAAGAAAGTCTTCCTAGACCAATCATATCTCTCATCTCACGTATTAGATCCTACCATACATGCGTCGCATACAGCCATCTTTTCGAAAAAAAATTTATTTACCTCTCCTGACTGCTCTTACGGACATACCAATCAGGACCTCAAGCATATATTATTTTCTTGTCCAAAAGAAAATCTCTAACCTTTCCAATAATCTTATCTCCTCTATTTATCGTATTTAACTCGGTACCATTTTGGACGTCCATATTATTGTTTTCTCCAACAATCTCAGAATATAAAAACTGCTGTACAACTTTATCTCTCAAGCAGAAATCATCTTTTAACACTTGACCATCTATCATCACCGAACATTTAATGGCGTATGAGCATGCTCTGCTGAAGCCCAACCACCAACCAGTCATAAAGAGAAGAAGAAGAATGTTCCTATATAGACTGTCAGTGCACGCTGAAAAATCATTATCATTCATATATAATTATTAAAGGGAAACAAGTTATAGATAGTGCATCACATGTGACGTTTCTAAGACGTCAAATTTCCGAGTACATATATATATTTTTTTAAATTAATGGACATGTTATTTGATCCGCTTTAAAATTCGCGGTAGAAAGTAAGAAAAATAATCGTGAAAGGGCGATCTTGATTATCTTCCTGATCAATTGTCTGTGACGTAACAGCAACGGCACGCTACGTCAACATAAACATTCGTTTTGTTATTTTACCCTTCACAATTCGAGCAACTTGTCGAATCGGAGTCGGGAGATTATGTTGTACCGTGATTTCGCCGAAATTGCCTTTTCTTAGCGTCAGAAAAACCAGGGCGTCTCTTCTTCGTGTTCTCACTTGCTCATGGGATTTATCGACGATGAATTACAAGAAGTATCTCAGCTGTGTCACAATGTCGTTGACGGAAGCCGCCTCGTCTCTTGCGTGCGGAGCATGGTTCGCGTCGAAATAACGTAAGAAAATTCTACATTACATGCCCTCGTTGTATCTCAAATCAACAGCATCTTGTTAGCATTGGCATCTTTCTTATCTTGCAGGAAAACATCGTTTAAGCAACTCGTCGTGTGCATCCAATTCAGAGAAGATTATCCCGCATCGCCGTTGTTCATCGAATTAAAGAGTAAAACTCTATCTACAAAATTGCTCGACGGACTAACAGAAGTCTGCGAAAAGGAGTGTAAGCGTTTATTGAACAAAGCACAGGTGCCTATGTTTAGATTTATTTCTAATAATTTTATACATTTATATTATATAATAAATTTTTCTTGCACTTGTAGGTTTTGCCGATTTTGAAGTTTATCAGGAATTTTATTGAAGAGAATCCCCTGATTTGTTGCTATGATGAAATAGGAACATTAAAGAAACTTCTAGGAGATAAAGACGAGTTAAAATTGAAGCAGAAGAATTCTTATATTTATTTAACAATACATCAGGGTTTATATCATTTTAAGACCAAGCTTGAAATTCCGAACAATTATCCCATCAATTGTATAATGTATGTGTTCAATTTTCTACCATAAAATTCATGCAGTAATTAAAATTCATTTTTTGTTGTTACTAACTCTTATATTTTTCCAGATTTGGTAATGTTGATACAAATTTTCCACCATTGCTTAATCGCTACCTAATTGGACAAGGAAAAGAATTTGCAAGACAATGTATTGAGCAACCATTTAAGAAACAAGTCCAACAAAAGTCATTCACTCCATCACCATCATTAAATACAGTTGCTTCTTTCCTCATAAAGTAATTATTCTTACATCAGTATATTTTTAGTTATATCTTTTTTTTTTTAATTTCGTGATTAAATTTATATTTACAGAACTGTAAAAGCTTTTCCACAAGAGCCTTGCCAACATTGCAACGTAATATGCTTGCCAACAAACCCAGAAGAGGTTGTAGCCGACGAACATGCGGATTTCCACGTCGAAAGACTTTACTGTGGTCATCTCTTTCACTTAAAATGTCTCGTGAAATACATGAAGACTCCGCCATTCCATGGTATAAAATAAAATTTTTTATTTAAATATAAATTTAAATATCAATCATCATGTTGATTAGAAGATTAGAAAAAGAAATTTTTTTATTTTTTGTTTTAGGGGGTAAAAAATGTCCTAGTTGTGGCCAACGCGTCTATCACGATAAATGGGGATTAAGTGACAAGCTTGCAGAAGCTCGTTGGGCCCATCAACAGGCACGAGCGAGAGAATTAGCGGAAGTTGAAGATTTTTTCAACTAAAATATCCTGTATCAGGCAGACGGCACTTATGCAGCAACATGGTGCTGTGAGTTTTATGATAAACTTTATTAAAAACGCGATATAATAAATAGAAGCATATAAAATGTGGCAATTGACATTTTGAGAAAAAATAAAATGTATGATAAGAATTAAATTAAGAGAGAAAGAGTTCCAGCTCTAAAACAAAATTATTTTTATTATTTTACGAAGTACTATTTTAGAATGTTGTATTTATAAAACACAGGGGCAAGTGTTAAACAAATTTTTGTTAAAAATATATAGTAATATTTTCTATTTTTAAATAGAAAAATGTCAGTTACCAAATTTATTTTTGCATCAAAAACTGATACTGAAACAAAGTGTTGTATAGCAAATGGGCATTAATCAATGGGCTTAAAATAGTTGATAAGAAAAACTTTTTACATATTAAATGTATTAACATAGCATTATCTTTAGGTTACTTTATGTAAAAAGAATGTGTTTATATATTTATACTTATACTTCGAATTTCCTTTTTCTATTTTATTAAAGAGCAGCTATAACTCAAGGTTATTTGTTAGTTATCATATTTTACAAGTTGGATTTATAATTTGGGAGAAATTAATTTCAGAAATTCCTTCCACATAGAGTTGATATTATATTTTTTTAAGAAGTATATTTAATTATATTATAATTTTAAGAGCTGCAATGGAAAACGAAAATGATATTTTAACAATAAAAGCATAGCGAACAGATGACAGAATTAGAAAAGAGAAACTGCTTGATAACTTTTATTAAAGATTTTCTTCTAATCACAGTTAAAAATTATAGTTTGTAGTAATAACAAACAAAAAAAAACTAAACATTTTTATGGAAATCTATCTCACTACATATAAAAAAGATTTTTTAAAATATAAACAAGACATTTATCCTATGGCCAAATGTAATAATATATATAGGAGTAAATTTTAAAAACCTGAGACTGTGTGTATATCGGTTTTGAAATTCATTCTGCATTCCATCTCGTATATTACAAACATAACGCATATTTTTTGATCTTATGACGACCGATCTTGTATATCACATATATGTTGAGGCGTGCCAGCTCGTTTTCGATGATGTGTGCATTATATAATATATAATCTGCAGAAGTTATCTCAGAGTGTGATGGGGTCGGTATGGGCGCAGTCTCGCATGTATGCACGAATAGTTGTGACCGTGTTCGTGACGTATTGATCCTCCGGCTATAGTGACATTGTCTCCGTCTCCCTTTCTCTCCTTCTCTCAGACTGGCCTCTTATATGAACACATTTTCGTTTTGCCGCGTTTACTTTGCCACCCTTACCCAGGAAGTTAATGTTCTTTACATGTGTGATCATCGTGGATACAATATCTTCGGACGCATATGGTATATTAGAGCAAGCGAAAATAAGAAAGAGAAAAAGGGATATACGGAATTCACCCTAATGAGCTACTAAGAAAAATTCGTCAGATTGTTTCCCTCCAAATTTTTTTTATCAATGTTAGATATTTAATAAGGTGTTTCTAGAAATAAAAGACACGTATTTTTTTCATATGTATCTTAACGCGAAGGGTGCTTTAATGTTTCAAGCAGATTCTCGTAATTAACTCGATATATTTTAATCTAATTATTTGCCAAAATCATAGGATTTGTGAGAAATGATTCAAACAAAAATATTTTTATTATTTTATTAAAAGTATTTCGTAATTACGATATTTGGCAGAAGTTTTTTCACAATTAAAAAATTTATAGTTAAAAAAAGATAGAGTTCTTAAATATTTAATTGCCTTATTAAATTCTCGATTATCCGCAGAGATATAGAAAAATAAATTAAATTCATTTTTTTTCTAATTAAAATCTACATAATCATTTTTAGTTAATTTGTATTCTTGTCTAAAGTCTTTTATAAGTTTATATTACAAAGAATATTTTAAATTTATTAAATTTATAATTTCCTTATTTTTCTTGAAAAGATTTCTCAACATCATCATTATTATCACTTGATGCTACAATTTATTTATTATACATCCCTATATCTTTTCTATCAGTGACAATAATATTGATAATGAAGAAGCACTCTTATACTACAAAAAAATGATCTTTATCTTTTGCATAGAGAAAACTTTATATGAACAAAAATAAATACTGTTAACATTATATAGTCGGGGAAAAATGGCAAATAAATAAACTGTTCTTCACGATATTTGCATTAATAATAATAATGTAAATCGCGTGAATATATCGGTTCCCAAGGGCGATCGACTAAATTTTTCTCCCGCCGCGTGTTCGCATTTAGTTCTGGGAGACAGCCAGGCAGACTAATTCCCAGTTATCGATTCCACGCATACGTGGAAACGTATGCTCGCGCTCGCACTCATGTAGGGCGGACTCTCACGGACCGTTCCTTACACCTGAGCTGACCTGACCGAAACGTATTATGACGACGATGAGTTGTCTTCGTGGTCTTTACGAACTAATACAGCCAGCACGAAAACCGTTTCCGAGTCTTCCGAAAGAGGAGCGACGTTGACGTTGTTTGCATTGTTGAAAAGATTTCTGGGTCGATGAGTAAGATCGCGAAGAAGAACGTGAAACTGCAAATTTCACGCGTCACGTGCAATTTCGTTATTGCAGCGGCGTTATTAGTTCACGTTTGTGCTCGCATTAGGGTCGATTCCGGTCATGTGCCTATATCTATGTGTTTGACTGTTCACCGGTGCTACGGGTTTGCGAACGATTGCGAGGGGTTTCCTCGATATATGCACCTGGAGTCGTTCACACCGATTTATCTCGCGCCAAGAATAGCCCCTGTATTTCTTTTCCATACTCAATTCTACGGAGGTATATTAATATAACATTTATTAATGTCGATATAGAGATTCAATAATATATTAACAACGTTACACTGCTGCGTGTACGAAATGCATACGGATGCAATTAAGATCACGAAATGGGAACAATTTTAAAATGATTAAATTAGTCGATTAATTCTTGTAACGTTCCTCGTTAGAAAATATTAGGACTGAACGCGATCGAATATCGATTTAATGAATACTTCTTGAAATGACAGTAACGAGCGTTGACGAGCACAGTTAACGTAATCAATTTGGAACTTATACAAAGGCGACACATAAATCTCGCGAATCGTTCTTGCGAAACATGGATAATACGTCTTCCGGTTCCTGGTGTGCGAAACAAGTCGTCATATACACACACGATATACGAAATAATTGCACGTGGAATAGCTTCGTACGTAACGCTTTGTGGATCGATAGTTGGGAAATGGCCGGAAGCCAAGTCCGACGACGGTGTCGTTTCAAGTTTTGCCATTGTCACAGTGCGTAGGAGAGGGAGCCAACCCCTTTCGCGAGTGTCCCACTTATGTATCAGTAACCCCCGACGCACAATTCTCCTGTATCCGCCTCGCGACTGTCCTTAAGAAGACCATCCAAATGCTTTCCATTCATTCTTCGGATTAAAATGCGATCCAGTTTTAAAGATGAAATCTGATTCATTCATACGTGTTTGCCACAAGAGATACGAAATCGTTCGCGGATAGTTTGTATTCACGCGATCTGACACGTCCTTTTTTACCTGGATGTTGCAATGAATCTCGTCAATCATCTTTATCTTTTCTCTAATAGCTTTGAAGGAAAATTTATTAGACCCTGCGCACAATAAAATAATATTAGGAATAAATATTAAATATTGGGAATTATTTTAAAATAAAATCGAAACTCTGGTATATAAATACAAATTCAGGTATGAAGGGTTTACATCAGAGTCTTTTCAAATTTATTATTTTCAAATAATTCTTATTCCTAATATTTAATATTTATTCCCAATGTTTTCTCTATTGTGCGCAGGATCTTAGTTCGAATAATAATTCTAATAATTAATAGGAAAGATGTATTCGGATTTTGTCGAGACGTTTCAGATTGTTGAAATAAATACCCATTTATTTATGAATATTTATTGCAATGCATCGTTAGCATGTGTATATTTTTACAGTAAATTTATGCAATCTTATTATCAGATTTTCGACAATGCGGGTATATACATGCAAATCGCGACAAAGCACAATCTTTTTAATAAGTAATTGAACGTACTTTCTCGAATGATGTAACAATTTTTAGCTCAAATAATTCAGGATTTATATAACAATAAAAAATTGCGTGTACAATTGCATAATCATATTAGACTTGAAAAAGATGGAAGATGATATCGCTTGTATATATTATAAGAAACGTTTTTTACTTTAGTAATTGAAAAGTTGACGGCTGTGAAAGTTGAAAGAGAGAAACATATTGTGGCGCGTGCCACTCCGAGGGTGTCTACCGAGAGTTATTCTTTTGGGAAGATTGCTCGCGTGACACGAAAATTCACGCATTTCTTTCAACGCGAACAACAGTGCGATCCTCGTCGTACCCCGAGGAGATATTTCAAAATAACGGTACCGTAAATGACGCGTGAAAACAGCTGTCCTTCTTCGAGTTCTCCGTTTTCAACCACAACGATCTATTTTAATTTACTTTTGCGACAATTTAAGATTACGATGTAAAATAGTTTGTAGACAGAAATACTAGGAAAGACGGAAAGTCAAACTGAACTAACGTTGGAAGAGGGCGAGGAACATTTAATTCTCGTCGAATATACAAAAATGATCATTTTTTCTTGCTCTATTAAAGAAAATACAAAAAAAAAACAACGAGAGAAATAAAGTGGAGAAAATTTCATTATAACGAGTGTAATTTCACGTTCGCCACGATGCGATGTAATATTTGCCGCAACTGTCCATCGCACAATCGTAGTCCATCTCACATCTGTTTCCCCTCCCTGCAAAAACCAATTTTCCGTTTGAAAATGGGAACTGGCGATCTGGTCTTCGCTTCGCGAAAAACGGGGAAATGTTGATCTATAAGTGCTGATCTATAAGTTGATCTCTATACGCAACGGAGATGAATTGTGAGTAGCGGGACCACGCGAGAAAGAGAGAGAGATGACGAAGAGAAAAGGAGAAAGGTGTAAAACGATGGAGAAAGAGGGCCTGTATACACGGTAGGTCCCGCAACAACAAGTTGCAACCACCTGGCGAGGGTGATGCCGACCACGCGGTGGATTACCCTCCAGGTGGATGCTCCCTTGCGAAACCTCCTGCTTCGCCGCAGC